TAGGAAGCTCTTCCCCATGCTCTGTCGGGGGCCGGGTCATCTCCCGTCTTTCCTGGTCTGCTGGGGACCAAGAAAAGCCTCCCCCGACATCCTCACCAGCTCTGTCCCCGGCTCTTCCATTTCTGACACTGGCTTTCGTTTCCTGGCTAGCACAGGCTTCATCTGCAGAACAAACTGCAGCTTTTCGTGTCCACCTAACTCAGGGCTCCGAGTGTAGAGGTGGGAGCCAGAGCACCAGGTCCTGGACCCCCATCCTTGCAGTGCTGAGGCCTTGGGGGAAGTGCTCAGCCTTCCGTGTGTCCGAGTCACCTACAGAAGGAACCCTGGGAGGGGAGGGGGCCAAGGCGAGCACAGGAAGGGGGAGGAAGGGCACTTGGGAAAGAGCGAGTGTCCCATCGGTGCTAAGTGGAGGTAGAAAGCAGGAACGGGCCCGTTTCGCCCACTGCCAATCTGCTCACTCCCCCTAGAGAGTTGAAGGTGTTCTCGGGAGCTGATACATGAGCTGGAGACCCTTGCCCTGGGCCCTTCTAGCTGCTGCAGGTTAGGCTAAGCCTGCTGACCAGTCCAGCCCACTCTCAGCAGAAGGAAGAGGGGGGCCTGGATGAGGCGCTCTGTCTCTGTCCGTGGTGCTGAAGTTGCACCATTGAGGATGTGTAGGGCTCCCTCCATTGCCTGCACAGCTCTGCCCATCCAGTGAACCCCAGCGTGGGTAGAAACGAGCGTTTTCCTTCTGGATAAATGTGAAGAAAGCGTAAAGCCTTGTGGTCAAGTCTCAGGCTTAAGGCCCTTTCCTGCACCTTAAGCTGTGTGCCAATCCCCCTTCCTCTATAATCTCAGTTAAACCTGGGCCCAAACTCCGGAAGGCAGGTGTCATCAGGATCAGCGTCTCCTGCCTAGAAACCAAGGAACGTGCCTGAGATTTGGACCCCAAGGTCGGTCTCCAGAGCCTCAGACGTGGCCACTGTTTCCCACGGCTGTCAGCCCTGAGCGTGGCCACCTCGCTGGTTGAGTCCATCCATGGTGGCGCTTCAACAAAGCCTTATCCTGTGATGCTTTTTAGGCATGTGATTTATAAGACTGTCCATGGGAGGGTTTCATGCATACATTGTCCACGCACCGCACCATCCACCAGAGTGTCCTCACCACTGCCCCACACTCTCTTCATACAAGTTCAATTCTGTAGGCCAGTTCTCTGGGTCTGTTGCCTTTGGCCATTCGTGATTCCCTTCCTGCCTTTCCTTATGTCCCACATATAAAAGAGAAACTATGCATCTGTCTGTCTGTCTGTCTCTCCTCTCTCTCTCTCTCTCTCTCTGTCTCTGTCTCTCTCTCTCTCTCTCTCTCTCTCTCTCTCTCTGGCATCACTCAGCATGATACCTTCCAGATCCATCCATTGGCCAGAAAATTGCATAGATCTTGCCATTTCTCATAGCTGAGTCATATTTTATTGTGTATAACTATCGCAGTTTCTTGATCTATGACTTGCTGTTTTACTGAAATGCTGAGGTTGAACTTCTTCTGGCCAGGTCTGCTGGCTCTCAAGGCTGATCCTTCAGCAGGAAAGAGACCAATGGAGAGGTTCTGTGTAAGCTCTGAGGTGCTGGATGGCTCTGGGTCAAACCTCCTTGCTGGGTCTCCATGTGGGTCTTTAGTTTTTAAGTCTGTAGAATTAGTTGTCTTCACACATGACAAAGATTCCTTCTTGCACAGACAGGATGTAAAAAAATTACTGGGATAGAGTTTCTTCATTTTAGAACTCACTGAAGGACAAATCAGTTCTGGAATATTTCTCTACTCAATGACTCGGCTGAGAGTGTAGCCAATGAGTTGACCAAATCCAGTAACTTCATCATCGATTGCCTTTTCCAAACTCATTTTGGGAAGCTCAGCGGGGCTTTCTAAATTGGCCCCTTCTCCCACGGGTAAGACCGGGATGTCTCACCACCCGATTCCCTTTGGAGGCCTAGGTGTGGTCCACATCACATCCCAGTAGATTTAAAAGCCCTGACGTCACCCCATGTTGGATCAGTAAAGAAAAATCTCTGAAAGGCAAACAGCCCATCCGTGAGAGCTTTGGAGGGAAAACAGGAAAGGAAAGATTATTTGCCTCCTGTGGCCTTTTCTGAGGCCCCTTGTGGCAGAGTGAGGACCCAGGCATTTTGAGAGACCCCTCTAGGAATTAAAACCACAAGGGACCATAGAGACAGATCTTGCCTTGCACACAGCTGACTCAATTGTATCCCTGGGATCCTATCCAGTCCCCTGAGCATCTCCAGGAGTGGTTCCTGAGTGCAGACCCAAGAGTAACCCCTGGGCACCGCCAGATGTGGCCCCCAAACCAAAATGATGATGATGATGACAAAACTGAAGGAAGGAGTACACCCATGGGTCCATTGCTGTTCTAAATCAGCCATCCCGGCTGAGGGAGGACACCCAGGTGTTTGCTGCCATCTCGTGATTATCATCCTTGACCTTTCAAGGTGAATGCGCAGCGGTGGGCAGAATCAATCCTTAGCCCCAAAGGTGCTGGTTCCTTTGGCCTGCTAGATACCCGAACTCTGGGCCTCGGCTCCCATGGCCTGAGCCCCACCTGAGTTCCTGCTACCCCCCTCCCCACCCACCTCCACTCAGGAACTTGGCAGAGACCCCAGGGAATGGTCGTCTCTATTTCCTCATAATTAACCAGGGCATGCTCCCGCAGCTTCTCTGCTTCTGAATGCAGTAAATACAGCGGCCAATCTCCCAGGCCCATGAATATTTCAGCTCGGAGATTACTGCATAAATATTGTATTTAGCTATGATGGTCCGGGACAAGGCATTAAAATTGCAGGACGATGCTATTATCTTGTCTGACGGAACGCGGGATTTGAAAGCTGGCCTCTGGGAAGAAAAAGTGTCCGACCCCTTACACCTCTATGTTCTTTTTCTCCCTTGCTCTTTCTGTCTTCCTTCATCTTGGTCACCACGTCAGCCTGGACCTAAATGATGGAACGTTTTAAATCTTAGGCATAGACAGACAGGCACTCATGGTGTAATTTGCACCAGCCAGCCAAGGTTGGCGATCAGTTTCCCAAATGTAGAGGTATTCTTCTGTGTCTAATCTTCTTAAATTTTTAATTGAGATAAAGTTCATTTACAAAACTGGGTGTGATCGGAGAGGGAGTACCGTTTTGCACCACTTCAGAATAAGTCTCCCCACGCCAGTCCCTTGGACCCACACGCCCCCTCCCACTGCCCCCATCACCGCCCTCCCTCTGCTGAGCTGGGTCAGACAGCTTGTCTCAAACTCCAGCCCCCTCACAACACAGCCAGCTTACCAACTCTCGGGCCTCCGTGGGAAACGCCAATTCTGCCCTTTACAAGAGGTCTTTTGCATCTGCATAACTGTCTCTGGGGGGAAATGTTCTGACTTTGGTGTGAGGGCTGCTGCCGGAGGCCCAGCAGTTCCACTTGGAGGATATTTATCTGAAAACTGTGAAAATGTGAACTTGAAGAGTTCTGTCCACTCTGATGTTTATATATTTCCCGTTTTTTTTTCTTCTTGGTGGTGCTGGTTCCCCAAAGGCCTCGCACCCATTGATTGTCACACTATTTAAAACAGCTAAGTCGGGGTTGGAGCGATACTACAGTGGGTAGGGCATTTGCCTTGCACGTGGCCAACCCGGGTTTGATTCCCAGCATCCCATAGGGTTCTCCGAGCACTGCCAGGAGTAATTCCTGAGCTCAGAGCCAGGAGTGACCCCTGTGCATTGCCGGGTGTGACCCCACCCCCCGCCCAAAGAAAAATAGCTAAGCCGTGGAAGGCACAGAATTGTCCCACAGGTATGGATGCTGGGATCAAGAAGATTGATGTCAGGGGCTACCGCTGGGTCCTAAAAGTAGAGAGAAATCCGCCACTCACCATACAGTTGAAAGGAGCTGGAGGGAATGATGTGAAATGATAAAGTAACATAATAGGAGACTAACACCAAAGGACAGTAGAGATGAGGGCCAGGAGGGTGGCTCTATGGCTTGGAAGCTGGTCTCAAGTGCGGGGGAAAGGGCAGCTGGGCTGGAGAAGGGACCACTAAGTGAATGATGCTTGGAGGGCTCGCTCGGGACGGGAGATGCGTGCTGAAGGTAGACAATGGAACTAACATGATGGCCACTTACTCCTTGTATTGCAAACCATAACACCCCAAAGGAGGGAGAGAGTAACAGGGATTGTGATTGCCACAGAGGCAGGTGGGGGGTGGTGGAAGAAGGAGTGGGGATGGCGGGAGGGATACTGAGATCACTGGTGGTGGAGAATGGGCACTGGTGGAGGGATGGGTACTCGATCATTGTATGACTGAAACGTAATCACAAAAGTTTGTAAGTCTGTAACTATCTCACGGTGATTCATTAAAAAACAAATAAAGTTAAGGAAGGAAGGAAGGAAGGAAGGAAGGAAGGAAGGAAGGAAGGAAGGAAGGAAGGGAGGAAGGAAGGGAAAGAAAGAAAGAAAGAAAGAAAGAAAGAAAGAAAGAAAGAAAGAAAGAAAGAAAGAAAGAAGGAAAGAAAGAAAGAAAGAAAAGCTGAAAGGGAAAAAAAAGTATTGACCGATTTCACCTGTGAGGGCAAAAATCAGGGGCCAGAATGAGCAGGGAGCAGAGCGATCGTCCAGCAGGGAGGGCATTTGCCTGGCACGCTGCTGACCCGGGTTCCATCCCCGGCATCTCATAGGAGCCCCCAGGCACCGCCAGGAATAATTCCTGAGTGCATGAGCCAGGAGGAATCCCTGAGCATCGCTGGGTGGGACCCCAAAAGCAAAAGTTAAAAAGAGCAGAGGGGCCAGAGAGAGCAGACGGCCAAGGTGCAAGCCTTGCGGTACTTGATGGTGCCCCCAGCGTCACAGGGGACAGCAGGTCACCCCGGCACTGCAGGAATTCAGCTAGCCAAAGCAGTGACCCGAACGTGCGGCGGTCCCTCCGTGGGCACTCGCACCCGCGCCCAGCCCGGCCCCCTCTCTCCTCTCCCAGGTTCATCCGCAAGCAGGGCCTGGACCGGCTCTTCCTGGAGTGCGACGCGCACATGTGGCGCCTGGGGGACCGGCGCATCCCCGAGGGCATCGCGGTGGACGGCGGCTCCGACTGGTTCCTGCTCAATCGGAAGTTTGTGGAGTACGTGACGTTCTCCCCCGACGACCTGGTGACACAGATGAAGCAGTTCTACGCCTACACGCTCCTGCCGGCCGAGGTGCGCGTGGCCCAGGCGCCAGGCGGGGAGGGTGCATGGTGGCCCCCACTCTGGGGTTCAAGTCGCAGCTCCTGGGGCGCCCCCGCCCGTACCCCGAGGTCCCCTGCAGGCTGCCAGGAGCAGCTCTGTGGCAGAGGGAAAGCAGGAAGGGCAGAAAAAGCGGGAATTTTTTTTTTTTAAGTTGAGTGTCCTGCCCAGAAACAAACCAGGGTTCCGTGAGAAGGAGACACTTCCGGCTATTATGGAAGGAAGACCACGGCATGTTGGCTCCCAGCCCATGTTCCAACCCAGAGATGGGCAGGGCCCGGTTCATGCCACCAGCCCTGAGAGGACACCCCCACAGTGCGGATGGAAACCCCCCCACCAGGCCCCCGCCATCACGGCATCACCCTTTTTCTCACCAGAATGCTTTAATCTTGCTTTTTGGGTCACACCCAGCGATGCTCAGGGCCTACCCCTGGCTCTGCACTCAGGAATCACTCCTGGTGGTGCTCGGGGGACCCAACGGGATGCTGGGGATGGAACTCGGGTCGGTGCAAGACAAAAGCCCTCCCCGCTGTGCTGTCGCTCCGGCCCGAAACCCCCTGCCCCACACCTCTGTCTGTCCTGTGACCGCCCTCGGACTCAGGCAGGGCACCCTGGGGGCGGCTTGCATCCTGCGGTGTTCCAGGGCTGTCCCCTGCAGCGTCTCCCATGTCAGCCCCTGTGAGGGACTCCCCACTCAGCCGCTGTCGGGAGGGACGGGGGCACCAGGTGCCGGGGCGGGATGTGTGAGAGACGCAGCCGGACCGCAGTGGGGTGGGTGGGTAGGTCTCGGGAAGGGCCTGCCCATGGGGACCGCGCGGCGTCACTGGCCCCTGTCCCCACAGTCCTTCTTCCACACGGTGCTGGAGAACAGCCCCCACTGCGGCACCATGGTGGACAACAACCTGCGCGTCACCAACTGGAACCGGAAGCTGGGCTGCAGGTGCCAGTACAAGCACATCGTGGACTGGTGCGGCTGCTCCCCCAACGACTTCAAGCCGCCGGACTTCCACCGCTTCCAGGTACCTGCCGCCCTCCCCGCCCCCGGGAAGGCCAGCTGGGCCAGCCCGGCCCACTGCAGCCTCCTGGAGACGTTTGTGTCCTCCTCGCCCCCATGGCTATGTGTAGATAACATGATGCAGCTTATCGACATTACTGTGTTAGGAGGCTGTAATACTATAATAGGGGCCGGAGCACCAGCACAGCGGGGAGGGCACGTGGCCTCGCGTGTGGCCAACTCGGGCCTGATTCCCAGCATCCCAGAGGGTCTCCCGAGCACCCCAGGAGTCATTCCTGAGTGCAGGGTCTGGCGGGACCCTGTGCATCGCCGGGTGTGACCAAAAAGTGAAAATAATAATAATAATAATAAAGATAATGATTGGTTTGGGTATTGATGACAATTATGAGGTGAGAATTAATGATTAATTAATCTTGATTATGTGTGGGTATTAGTCATGATTTGGGGGTGGGCATTAATCATGACTGGGGGTGGGTAGTAATGATTGTGAGGAGTAGGTATTAGTCATGATTAAGGGGTGTTTGTATTAATCATGATTGGGGGTGGGTATTGATGATTATGGGGATGGGTATTAATGAACTATTCGGGTGGGTACTGAAGATTACTGGGGGATATTAATGATTATTGGGTTGGGCATTGATGATCGCGAGGGCAGGTATTGATGATGATTATGAGGTGGGTATTGATGATTAGTCATAATTATGGGTGGGTATTAATCATGGTTGTGGGGTGGTTACTAATGATTTTGAGGAGTGGGTATTAATCATGATGGGGGTGGGTATTAATCATGATTATTGGGGTGGGTATTAATCATGATTTGGGGTGGGTATTGATGACTATAGGAGGTGGGTATTAATGATTATTCGGCTGGGTACTGATGATTATAGGGGGATGATTAGATAGCATATAATGCAATTTATAGACATTATATATAATAATCATAATTAATGATTATTGGGGTGGGTATTAATGAGTAAGGAGAGGCTGCTAAAATCTCAGGGCTGGGACATTACTGGCGCCCGCTCAAGTAAATCGATGAACAGCAGAATGACAGTGATACAGTGATACAGTGATTGATGATTACGAGGGTGGGTATTAATGATGATCATGGGGTATTAAGGATGATTATAGGGGTGACGGGGGGGACAGTCAGAGGTCCTCAATGCTTGCTTGACTCCAGGGTCCATCTTGGAGGAGCTCAGGAGACAGAGTGCAGTGCTGGTTGTGAGCTGGGCTTGGCCGTGTCCCAGGCAAGCTCTGTCACCCCTGCACTGTCACTCAGGGCCCGGAAACTGGGCAGGAGCATGGTGTAGACACCTGCTGCCAGCCCAAGCATTTCTCCCGTCAGAGCCCCTGGGTGGGGGGGTGGGGAGGGTCCCACCTGGGTCCCACCTGGGTCGTGCTCTGTGCGCCCAGCCCCAGCTGCAGACATCCTGCTGCTCCGGGCACTGGCGGGCATTGGGGGGGGCACAGGCCTGGGCTCTGTGGCTGACACCCAGCAGTGCTCCCACCCCCCGACGTGACCACGGTCTCCAGCCCTGCCCTGGCCCCGTGAGCCCTGGGTTCCATGCCTGGCACTGCCGGGAGCGTTCTGGGCAGCGTTTCTGTGGTTCCTGCCTCTCTGCAGGCACCAGAGCCAGAGGCTGACCACTGGGGGCCCATATGGCCTTTGGCTTCTCAGCTATGCACATCCGCACCCTGCCAAGGCTCTGAGGGGTCCCCGGCCTGGTTTCCAGACCCCCACACCCCCTCCAGCACGTCCCCCTCAGGCGGTCACCCTTGCCTTCACCTGGAGTAGCTGCCACAGTGAGAACCAGGGGAGGGTCTCCCCGGCTGTGCTGACCCTGAATGCCCCTGCAGGGCAGGCAGTGTTGGGCGTCCACCTTGGGCCCCACAGGCACCCCAGCCCTTTGACATCCCCTCAAACTCCCCCCCCCCCACACACACACAGAGTAATCACTCTGGGGACCTGTTTCTGGTGGCAGATGGAGAAGCTCCAAGCACCCTTCACACCCTGTTCATTTAGGCACAAATCTGGGTACCAGTTCAGCTCCATTGTCCACTCGATGGACCCACTGCGCAGAAAAGGGGCCGCAGGGGGAGCAGTATTCGACCTGCTGAAGAGGGGGAAATAAAAGAGGGTGTTTTTAACTTTCAAAATAAGATAAGGGGGCTGGAACGATAGGACAGTAGGGAGGGCGTTTGCCTTGCACACAGCCAACACAGGTTCGATCCCCGGCATCCTGTATGATCCCCTGAGCACTGCCAGGAGTAATTCCTGAGTGTGGAGCCAGGAGGAACCCCTGAGTATCATTGGGTGTGACCCAAAAAGGAAAGACAAGAAAACAAATCAAAATAAATAAGAGTCCTTAACGTGCGAAGCTGGTCCTTGCTGGCCATGCAAAGCCCCCTTGGTCACGCACGTCTTGTAGAGCAGGTGGACGCAGAACCCGGCCCCAGGCCCGCTCCCGGGGGCCACGTCTGTATTCCAGACCCCCACAATGCGCAGGCTCGAAGAGCTGAGCCCCGAGCGGCCCCACGTGTGCTCATGGATTTTTCATTCCCAGGAAACAGAACCTCTTTCCGCCTCTCCCCTGGATTCCTAGAATCCAGAAACCGCTGCCCCCGAGGAACTCGTAGCTCTTCTGTGAAGAACCCCGAGAAAGAGGATAAATATAGAAACGGGCCCTTTTAGAAACTGTGAGAACTGCGGGCGGAGAATGGGAGGCTTTGTCCAGTTCTCGGACCCCAACACGGGCTTCAGAGCCCCAGGAAGCAGGTGGGGGGCGGGGGGAGGCGAGAATGGTCCTGTTTTGATCTCAGCTGCTGCTTGGCCCCTGGGTTCTCGGGCCCATTTGAAGGATGGGAAAACTGAGACCCTGGGTGAATTCCCTGGCTCCTGAGTCTTAACCCTGACTCTGCCATCACTTTTCTGTGGGACCTTGGACAAATTTCCTGCCCTCTCTGGGCCTGTTTTCTTGAAACCCTGGTTAGCAGTGAGCTAAGTGGGCTTCAGTGGTGATACGCAGCTTCCAGTTCTAACATCTAAAAGAACTTTCTGGAAGGTATTTTGGGGGGGGGGGGGGGAGGGCGGCACGGCTACAGATTCCTTCCAAAGTTCCTTTAAAGCATCTCAGAGGTGCAGCCCTGGTCTCCCTCGAGTTGTTGGTACATTTGCACAACTAAATGACTCACCGGGGAAGTTTAGGAAGTTTATTGAGAATAGTCAGATCCCTGGGGCCAGGAAGGTGCCCTCAAGGGCCGGGTACATGCCTGGCACGCGTAAGGCCCGAGTTGGGTCCCCAGCACTGCATGCCCCCATCGTTGCAACGTGCAGGCCCCATCACCTCTCAGCTGGAGCGTCATCGCAGGGCTGAACCGCCAGCCCTCAGTCCCCTGAGGCACAGCCCAGAATCGGCCCCCGAGCTCCGAGGCTGCTGAGCACAGTCTAGAAGCTCCCAGGAAGAATGCAGCTCCCCAGGCTCCATCTGCTCACCTGGGCAGAGCATGTGGGTCCTGCCATGCACGGGGTCTTGGATTTGATCCCCCAAGTAGCGTAGTTCTTGGTGTGGGCCCTAAATCTATTTATTTTTTGGAGGGGGGAGGGCTGAAGCACCGTAGTTTTGATTGAGACTTTCTTAGAAATGGGCCGGAGCCACAGCACAGCGGGGAGGCCGTTTGCCTTGCACACGGCTGACCCTGATTCGATTCCCAGCATCCCCTAAGGTCCCCCAAGCACCGCCAGGAGTAATTCCTGAGTGCAGAGCCAGGAGTGACCCAAAAAGCAAATGAATAAGATAAATAAACCTGTGGGGGTGGCTGAAATCCACCCATTGGCGGGATTTGCCCTGGACCTCAGCTAAAGGGCGCCTGAAGTCCGTAACCCGGGCATGTGACTGGGCCAGCATTCAGATGGTGCCAGCTCCACGCGCACCCACACCCCTGCCGTGGCTAACTTCATTTAACACCTCCAAGCCCCCTTTGAACAGACAGCGACTCCCCGTCAGGGCTGGGAGGTGGGTCCCGACAGGAACCCCCCCCCCCCCCGCAGGCCCCCACCCTGGCCCTGACTCGCCCCTCCCTCCCGCCGAGCGCAGCAGACGGCACGGCCCACCTTCTTCGCCCGCAAGTTCGAAGCGGTGGTGAACCAGGAAATCATCGGGCAGCTAGACTATTACCTGTACGGCAACTACCCGGCGGGCACCCCGGGCCTCCGCTCCTACTGGGAGAACGTGTACGAGGAGCAGGACGGCGTCCACAGCCTGAGCGACGTGGCGCTGACCCTGTACCACGCCTTCGCCCGCCTGGGCCTGCGGAGGGCCGAGTCCTCCCTGCACACGGACGGGGAGAACAGCTGCAGGTGAGCCGGCAGTGGCAGGGGGCGGCGGGCGCGGGGCAGAGCGCGTCTCCCGCTCCCAGCTCGGCTCTTGGCGAGGACTTTGCCGCAGACCCGCCCATCCCGCGCGTGGTGGGGTTCAGGAGGAAGCGTTCGCCGCCACGCCCCAGGGTTGCATGAGGACAGAGAACGTTTTCCCTTGTTCTGGAAACGTCGGCTCAGTGCAAAACGAGAGAAGCAGCAGCCCCGCCAAACCCCAGCCCGCGGCCAGGCGTCTCCCCACTTCCCATCCTCCGTTCCTCTTCCTCCTCCTCCTCCTCCCCCTCCTCCCCGTCCTCCTCTTCTCTCCATCCTCCCCCTCCGCCTCCTTCTCCCCATCCTCCCCTTCTCCTTCTTTCCCTTCTCCTCCTCCTCCTCCTCCTCCTCCTCCTCCTCCTCCTCCTCCTCCTCCTCCTCCTCCTCTCCTTCCTCCTCTCCTTCCTCTCCTAATCCGCATTTAATCCGTTTCCCCAAGCTCCACTAGCAGCAATCCCTGAGCACAGTGCCAGGAGTAAGCCCTGAGCACAGCTGATTGTGGCCCCCAGAGTAAAACAAAAGTGGCCTCGTGCTGCCGTGCCTGCAGAGCGGCCTCCAGGGTCACCTGTTCCCGTGCGGCCATCATGTCTGACGCTGGAACAGGGCGAAACTGGCCAGAGGCACTGAGAGAGGAGGTGTTCGGGACACAGCTTCCGGGACAGGGCCAGTTCCAGAGGGCGGTGGCCAGCTCTGGAGCAAACCAGATCCTTGGGGGAGCCGGGCCAGCCTGGTGGGGGGCCCGTAGGCCCCCAGCCGCCAACCCTCCCCCGGGAGCGGGCGTGACCATCTCCCTCCCGGCAGGTACTACCCCATGGGCCACCCAGCCTCTGTGCACCTCTACTTCCTGGCCGACCGTTTCCAGGGCTTCCTCATCAAGCATCATGCCACCAACCTGGCCGTGAGCAAACTCGAAACGCTGGAGACGTGGGTGATGCCCAAGAAGGTCTTTAAGATCGCCAGCCCGCCCAGCGACTTCGGGAGGCTGCAGTTCTCTGAGGTGAGAAGCCAGGCCCTGTCTTGGGGCGGGGTCTGTCCCCTGGTCTGACTCCTAAAGCAGGCTAGATCCCGGGGTGGCCCCTGAGGGAGACCCACACAAGAGGCGCCTGGAGGAGGGTCTCATGCCCCCTGCCACCAGCACCTTCCACGGGGCAAGAGGAGAGGGCACTCAGGTGGCTGGTCCACCTCGACCACACCAGCCTGGCATGTGGAGCTGTTTTGGGGATGAAACCTCTGTCCATCCTAGCCCGTGGTCCCTCCTGGACCTATGCCAGTCACAGACCGGAGCTATGTCCCGTTCCCTAGTGAAGACGCCACATTAGACCTGGTCACGGTTTAGAGAGCCGGGGCAGAGGGAGATGAGGTGGTTTCCTGGACCCTGTGGGACGTGGAAGAGCTCAGAGGTGAGCCCAGGAGCCAGGGAGAGTTCGGGCAGGGGCCCTCCTGTACACACAGTCCCCCAGTCCCGTCCCAGGCACCACATGAGCCCCCACAGCACCTCCCAACACCACTGGATCTGAGCAATGACCTATCTAGCCCAGTTGGCCAATGTCACCAGGTGTAGCCTTGGACCTCTCTGAGCACTGTTTTTTTTTTTGAGTCCCCCCAAAAAAAGGAAATACCGGGCTCCCAGGATGCAGATTTTGTGCTTAACATGCTCCTGACTCCTCAGTACCTAGCACAGGGTTGAGCTCAAAGTAAGCTCCAGGTCAGTCAGTCATTGAATGCATTCAGTCAGCTGATAAGTGAATGGATGGACGGATGGGCGGGCAGGCAGATGGATGATGGATGGATAGGTTGCATGAATGGATGGATGGTAGGTGGATGGGGAGGCAGATGGATGGATGGATAGGTGGATGGATTGATGAACAGGCAGAGGGATGGTGGGTAATGGATAGGTAGGTGGTTGGGTGAATGGATGGATGGGTACATGGGCGGATGGATGGATGGATGGATGGATGGATGGATGGATGGATGGAAAGATGGGTGGATGGATGGATGGATGGATGGATGGGTAGATGGATGAACAGATGGGCAGAGGGATGATGGATAGGTAGGTGGTTTGATGAATGGATGGATGGGTACTTGGGTGGATGGGTGGATGGACAGTCAGACAGGCAGAGGGATGATGGATGATGGATAGGTAGATGTTAAATGAATGGAAGGATGATAGATGGATGGGTAGTTGGAGGGATGGATGGATGGATGGATGGATGGATGGATGGATGGATGGATGAAAAGTGGGGCAGGTGGGTGGGTAGCTGAATGGACAGTTACATGATTAGATGGATGCATAGATGGGCAGATAAACAGGTGGCTAAGTCTGTCAGTATATAAACAGTGGATTCATAAATGGCACACAGTTCCCTTTCCCTAGTCCAACATCAGCTTTTGGTTATTTCCCTGACGGGGGGTAGATTTTACTCCCACCCCTCCCTCCAGACCACAGAGACCCTTTACGATCCGGCTTCCTCAGCACCATCCTCCCCATCCATCTGTCACCCTTCCCTGTCGTGGCCCACATGCTGGGATGTTCCTGCCTGAGGTGTGGCACGTGCCCGGCCCCCAGTGACTCTGGGTTTGTCCTTCCGATGTCATCCCTGCAGGGGCCACATCCATGCATGCACACCGAGCCAGCTCCCCCATCCCCGTTTCACTGTTGCCCTTGACTTCCGCTCCCTGACTGCCATGGGGGATCCTCTGGTTTCCGGCCTGGGAGCTGGTCTCTGGCAGCCCCTGTCCAGGAGTGGGTGGCGGGGCCGAGTCTGGCTATGGAAGGTGGTCTCTCTCCTGAGGACCCCACCTGCTCGGCGACCCTAGGCTTGTCCTCCGCCAGCTCCCACAGGGCCTGACCATTCGCCCCAGACTCTCTGAGCCAATTTCCAGTCGAAGCAGGATGGGTGCTGCCTGGGAGACCCCAGCCGCAGTTACACAGACCCCAGGCAGTGAAACAGGGCCCTGGTGGGGTCAGCGGGGGCAGGGAGGGCACTGAATGTCCTGTTCCCAGTTGCCTGCTAGGTGGACTCCCGTGAATAGCAGCCTGACAGAGGGTGACTGGGCACCTCAGCTGGTGACAGAAGATGCCCCCCACACCCCGCTAGTGGTGGGCAGGGTCCCGCTGGAGATCTGGTCCCATCTGGGCACGGAACCCTCCAGCTCTGGGGAGCATTGGTGGTTTCTCGGGGGAAGCCTTGGGCTGGAGTCTTTCCTCCTGATGCCTCGCTTTGAATTGATGATATCATTGGGACTGACCAGTAAGGTCACTAGGGTCTGTGCGGGGGAGCCTGGGGTGGAGACCAGTGTAGACAGGACCTTTGGCCAGGCCAGAGAAGGGCCAGCCCCGCAGAGACAGTCCCCGAGTGCTGGTCAGAGACCAGAGACCAGTAAAAGCACCATGTGGCGTCCACGTGGCAGGACCCATCGCCCGCCAACCCCCCCCCCGGCCTTTCTGGGTCCAGCATCCGTGACTTACCCCCCAACCCCCCTCCAGGTTGGCACCGACTGGGACGCCAAGGAACGGCTCTTCCGCAACTTCGGGGGTCTCCTGGGGCCCCTGGACGAGCCGGTGGGCATGCAGAAGTGGGGCAAGGGCCCGAACGTGACGGTGACTGTGGTCTGGGTGGACCCGGTCAACGTCATCGCCGCCACCTACGACATCCTGATTGAGTCCACGGCCGAGTTCACCCACTACAAGCCCCCGCTGAACACGCCGCTCAGACCTGGTGTCTGGACCGTGAAGATCCTGCACCACTGGGTGCCTGTGGCCGAGACACGCTTCCTCGTGGCCCCGCTGACCTTCTCCAACAGGCAGCCCATCAAGCCCGGTGAGTGACCCCCCCCCCCCACTGGCTATTTGCCCCAGTCAGGGCCTCACCGTCGCCCCCCCAGGACGAGTACATGGGTTTGGGTTTGGGTTTTTTTTTTTCCTTTTTGGGTCATACCCAGTGATGCACAGGGGTCGCTCCTGGCTCTGCACTCAGGAACTACCCCTGGCGGTGCTCGAGGGACCATACGGGATGCTGGGAATCAAACCCGGGTCGGCCACGTGCAAGGGAAACACCCTCCCCGCTGTACTATCACTTTAGCCCCGAATCCACGGTTTTGTCCTCGTCCCAGTGACCACTGCCAAGAGGGAAGGCAGCCGGGGGGAAGCTGTGCCCTCCCCCTACAGCACTACCCGGTCGGGCCCCAGGGTTGGGGCATGAAAAGTGGCCCCCCCCCGCCCCATCTCAGACCACCACACACTCTGGATGCCAGAATCGCGCAGAGACCTCTGGGGTTGCAGAATTCTGTGCTGGGCACCACAGAGGGGCGACCTGGCTGGCTGGGAGGGGCCACCTGGAGCCAGGAAGGGGGGGGGGTGAGGAGCTCCCTGGGGACTGGGGGCTCGAAATCTCCTGTGGGCTAGAGACAAGCAGGCAGAGACCGCCCAGGTCCCCCGTACCCGGGCCACACCCTCCCCGGGGGCCCTCAGTGGCCCTTGGGTCACGGCCAGCCCTCCTGAGGAGGGAGATGAGGAGGCAGGTGCCTTTGGCTGATGCCCAGGGGCGGGGGACCCCCTCCAGAGAGCCCCCAAGCAAACCCTGATGTCCCCAGGGGACCGTTTTCCTCCTGGAGTTTCATGAAAGGGAGGACCCCCTGACCGCCCATGCTGGGTGGGGGGGTGGTCCCCAGCCCAGGGGTGGGGGGAGCCTCTGATCTTGGGGAGCAGTCCCTCCCCCACACCTGCCACCGGCCCCATCAGCCACATGCCAGCCCAGCCGCAGCCCTGGGAATGGGAAGCCCAAGGTGGGAGCCGTGGCAATTTGTAAAATGATTCATCAAGCGCAATTTGCTATTGACACGTCCCTGGTAATCTGCAGAGATCTGATGAGGTGGAATTGAGGGAAATTTAATTACAGAGGCGAGCCTTGGCGCAGCCCGCACGAACCCGGAACCTCGTTTTCCAGGGCTGCCTGTGGCAGGCTGGGGGTCTCTTCCTCCTTTGGTCAGCCCGGATGTCTGTCCCCTCCCCCGCAGCGTCTCAGAGACCCTACGGCTCCACCCATTTCTGTGCCGGGGAAAATTGAGGCCCAGGCCCCCTGCTGGTGGCTCAGTGCAGCCCTGGACTCCTCACTCCCTGCTCTGTGCTCAGCCTTGTAGACAGCGTGTGGCGTGACCCCAGGGTCCCCCAGCCTCCTACATCCTCCAGCCCAGAGGCCACTGACCCCAGCCTACACCACTGACCCCCAGCCTACACCCAGCTCACCCCCCACCCCCACCCTCATGCTTCCCAGAGTCTCTTACTGTGCTCGGGCTCACATACCCCCCGGGGGCACGAGGAGTGGCCCCCAGGGTGGCCCCTGGGCCCCGCGAGCACTTCTTGAGGGTCCGCCCCAAAAGAAGGGCCAGAGGGAATAGATGCTCCCGCACACCAGTGGTGGAGGTGTGCAGGGGAGGGGCTGGCGGAAGGTCAGGGGGGGTGGCACGGAGGGGGTGGCTGGGGGCCCCCGAGGACACCGCCCCTGACCGTGCCCCACCCCGTCCTGTCGCTTGGCTTCCAGAGGAGGCGCTGAGGCTGCACGGCGGGCCCCCGCGCAGCGCCTACATGGAGCAGAGCTTCCAGAGCCTGAACCCGGTGCTCAGCCTGCCCCTGGTCCCCGCGCAGCTGGAGCAGGCCCGCAGGAACGCGGCGGCGGGCGGCGCGGGGCTGGAGCGCTGGCTGGACTCGCTGGTGGGCAGCATGTGGACGGCCATGGACGTGTGCGCCACAGGCCCCACGGCCTGCCCCGTCATGCAGGCCTGCAGCCAGACGGCCTGGAGCTCCTTCAGCCCCGACCCCAAGTCCGAGCTGGGCCCGGTCAAGCCCGACGGCCGGCTCAGGTAGCAGCGGCCCCGCGGGCACCACCGCCGACCTCAGACGGAGCACAGCCAGCGAGAGCGCCTGGACCCAGCCGAGGGGGTCCTCCTGGCCCTGGACTGCCGGAGAAGGGAGGGCCGGGGTGCAGGGGATCGAGGCCAGGCTGCAGACCACCGGCGTCCAGCCCGACAGGGTCTCACCTCTTCCGACCAGCGCTGGGCCCTGCAGGTTCCTCGTCACACCCTGGCCCATGCCCCCACGCCCAGACCAGTGACGGCCCCACTTCTCGCGAGCAGCGGGTCTCTGCTTCCTCGCAGGTGGAAGCTCGGGGTACCCCCCTTGGGAGGGAGGGGCCATGCCCAGCGCACCCCAGCAGGCCGCCCGGCCTCTCCGGAGGCCCCTCAGCACCCCAAGGGCTCTGCCAAACCCACTTCCAACAGCACTGCCCAGCCCGGGGCGCAGCCCCCACCTGCCCTCCGGCCCATGGCCCCGCACCCGGGACCCCCTGGAAGTCACACTCAGGGGTCCGGCCCCAGGGAGGAGACGGCCAGGCGGGCTCCTCTGAGCCACCCACCAGTGCTCCCCGAAGGAGCTGGCCCGTAACCATGAAAGTGTCCCCAGGGAGCACCACCACGGCCCCTCCTTGGAGGCCAGAACCGCCCCCCCACCCCCTCGCAGAGGTGGAAGTGCCCCGTTCCTGCATCGGTGGCCTCAGAACCTGGGTGCCCCCATGCCCAGTGCTGCTAGGGGTGACCCCACCGGCCCAGGAGACCCTGGTTTCCCAGCCCCTGCCCGTCCTCACCCCTGCTGCCCAGTGGGGTCCTACTTCCTGCACACGAGAAGCGAGACGGTTGGGGTCGGGGGCAGGGGTTGAACCCTAAATAACATTCTTTCCCAGATCTCAAGGGTTTCCTGGCAGGGGTCCCTGTGGGGGCCCTCCCTGCAGGGCTGAAGGCACAGTTCTGCCTATTGTCCCGAAAGTCACCCCCGTCTCACCCCCCGCCCCCGAACCGGCTCCTCCCCCCCCACTCACCCCTGCACCCCTTCTCCTCTTCCCCATTCGCGCCTGCACCCCTTCCCTCTCCTCCACTCACCCCAATGCCCTTTTAGTCAACCCTCCCTCTGCAGCTGCCCCAGACCCTCCTCAGAGGCAAGTGGAGGGTGTCAGACAGCAGGTGGCCTGTACTGTGGGCCAGGAGCAGCCACCAGCAGGGTGCAAGGGGGAACATTTTCCATGCAGAATGCTGATGAGGGTGGGGAACTTGCCCCACCCCTCCCACCAGGCACAGGGATGCCGCAGTCCAGCCCCGCCCCCTGCCTCCCCCGCTGTGTCCAGGGTGATGGGACAAGGGCCCCCCCAATGGGCGGAGTAGGGCTCAGGCTAGAGAGGACCCAGCAGGGGGCGCCCAGGAGGGGAGCCCGGGCCACTGCAGCCCTGAGCCTTCACCCACCGGAAGCCTCTGCTCTCTGGGGGACCTGCCCCCGCCTCCCGCCCCTGCCCCTTCCCCTCCCCCTCCCAGAGATGGAGAAGTCGGGACCCTGAATGCATTGCTCAGCCCCTGGGTTCCTGCGCTTGGCACCCTCCTCCTCGGAAAAGGACAGGCTCCCTCCGGGGGCATCTCCCCCCACCCCCACCCCTGCCTCTCCCAGCAGGCAAGCACCCTCGGCACCAGAACTCTGCAGGATTCCCTGGTTTAAGGAGTGGGGCACAGCAGAGGGGCCGGGTCCTTGCACCCAGCCCAGGGTGGTCTGCAATTTCCCAGGGAACGGGGGGCTCACTCCTCTCTTCTCCCGAGAGAGATTCGTGGGTCGAAGCTTTTGACCAGCTTCAAAGCCGAGAGCCCAGACCCTGGTGTCTGCTGGGGAGCTGAGCCCAGGGGTCTGAGTGGTGGGGGGGCTGGGGGGCTAGAGAAAACTCTGGTAAACTCTAGTGTCTGTCCCGGATGTTTGGGTACAGCCTGGGCTGTGGGATTAGAAACGGGGCTTCGGAACCCTCCCTGCCCAGACCACACCACACAGACCCCCCAGGAGGCAGGGCCATTCCCCGGGGGAGGGGGCTGCTCTGAGGGCACCCACCCCCATGTCCCCTCAGCTCAGCACTTGTTCCTAACTTGTTTCCTGTCTCTTTGATTTCTCAACACACCTGGAGTTAGAAGCTAAGGAGCCAGACCCCTGGGGAGGGGCAGCTTCTCCATGGCACGGGGCACAGCGCCCAGTGTCCCCCCAGGGAACGTGGCCTGTGCCCCCAAGGCACGGGGGGGCAGGGCAGCAGCAGTGTGTGGGGGGAAGACAAGAGCCCGACACCCCTCATAGTTCGCCACCCCTCTGTCCCCCAGCATGGGGGTGGGAGGGCGGGAGTACGCCAGAAACTGCTCTTGGCAAGGACACCCCAGACCCCCCCACACCCCCTCAGATCAAAGCCAAGCTCTGTGGCAGGGTCCAGGGTGCCGACCCAGTAAAGAAACTCCCGGCGAAGACACTCGGGCACAGAGGGGAGTGTGGTCACACAGGGGGAGCACGGGCGGTCAGGTACCCCCAGGGGGCGGGGGGACCAGTCTTCCCCAGGGGAAGGAGCGGACGCTGGAATCCAGCTTTTTTGGTGGGAAATCGGGTTCTGAACCCGCAGCAGCTTCAGTGTTGTCTGTCGGTTTTAAAATTAGGTCTGCCGGGCCCTCCCCGTCCCAGCTCTCAGGACAGTGCTCGCAGAGCAGGTGAGGTGCGGCTAGGGAGGAGGGAGGCCTCGGAGGGGACCAAGGGGTCAGCCCCAGCTGGGTGGAGAAGCTGGTCTGGCCCCTCGGGGAAGAGCCACCGAATCTGGGGGCCCCGACAGCCTCACAGGGAGACATGGGTAGGGACGGGGGGTCCGCGCTCACTCGGGGGACAGCGCTGTACTGCTTCTGCCTCAGTTTCCTCCCTTGGCCCACGGATCACCCACGGGGCTACCTCATCGTGTTTGCGGCAACGTTTACCGACCTGCTTGAGCTGGATGTACAAACTATGCAAATTCTGTCTCACTGTCTCTTTCTCCCAAGGATTCTTTTCTTTTAACCTTGTGAACGAGATACTGTACCGACCCCTCGTGCCCCTGTGTCCCCACCCCAACACCCCAGTCTGTGGTCTTGCTCTTGCCGAGCCCCCTGCAGGGAAAAGCAGGGTCCCCTCTCCCTCCTGTCCCATCTCCTCCAACCTTCCCCTCCGACTGGCTGCTGCTTCTCCCCTCCCTCATCACCCCCCAAAGCCTTACGTTTCTCCTCTTTGAAATGTGGCCTTAAAATTATTTTGGGGGGGTGGAGAGGAGGGAAGCTTAACTGCCCTCTCACCCCATGTCCCCTGACCTCCTGGAAGCAAGAGCATCTTCGAGAAGCTTTGTATGGGCCACCTCCGGAGTCAGGGAGCTGGTTGGGCACGACTGATGCAGGCACCCTGGGGGGGGGGGCAATCACCTGCCCTTTATATCCTGCGGGGAGGGGGCCTGCTTGCTCGTGAGACCCTCGCCAGCCCTCTGGGCAGGAGCTGGCTTCGTTCCTGACGGGGGAGATCTCCCCCACACCCGGCTTTCAGCCCACTCTGCACGGACACCCCTCCCCCAAAGACTCGGTGATGACATACTGGATTTAAGGGTCCATCAGGAGGACCCACACTTCTTCTCTCCAACGAGAGTGAGCACATGAAATTGTCTCAACAGTTGGGCTGCATTTTCAGAGGGGCGTCTCCCTGCCCCCTTGAGAGGTCCTCTTTTTCTCTTCCAGCACCCCAGGGCTGTTGGAGGCCAAAGACAACCCAGAATTTTCCTAGGAAATTCACTGGAATTGAGCGCACCCATCTTTGTCGTCTTTTTTCTTTCTTTCTTTTTTTAATACTTCTATGTTGTCAACGGCGTGGGTTTGGGTATTTTTCAGAGCCCCCCCCCTTAATAAGTTATTACCACCCCCGTCATTGTTTTTTCGAAGACATGTGGTGATATAGTTTTTAAAAATAACTATTTTGTTATAGATCATAATATGCATAAAAACTGTACAGAGCTATTTTGTAATGTATTGATTTTACAAAAAAAAAGAATCTGTAAATAAAGTTTTAAAAGAGAGTGGTAAGAATTCAGATGGCACACACTGAAAGATGTAGATATTTTGCTATTTATTTAAAGGAGTATTTTGAGAGAGAGAGAGAGAGAGAGAGAGAGAGAGAGAGAGAGAGAGAGAGCTGACGTGAGCCTGCCGTTGAGCCGCGGTCACCCTCATGCTTTCCCTGGCGGTGGCCGGTGACCCTCAAAGGCGATCGAACACTGCCGGCCCCGTTCTCTGTGCCCTGTTCAGTCTCTTCATTTAGCAGGAAAACAACAAACAACAACAAAATTGTGCCTTAGCCGTATTTTTTTTGTCTAGGGGAGTTTGTTTCTGTCCGACGAAGCAAAATTCTTTCTGTTGCCGAAAACAGTGGATGTATTCAATACTGTATCATACCAAAAACATCGCAGGTGTACGGACATGCTGTCTCTCATTCTGTGTTTTCAGATGCAGAATTTTAAAATTAAAAAAAAAAGAAAAGAAAAGAGAAGTCCTGTCTTTCTGAGTCATGTGGCCTGGCCATGCTCTGGTGTCTGCGGCATCTGGCCCCTGCTGTCTACTTGCCTCAGCGGGGCCCTTGACCCCACCACTGCTGGGAATCTCTTCTGCTGATTGATTCCACCTTCCACTTGTCCCCTCTGAGTTAGAGAATTGTCGTGGTTGGCCGAAACGATCACAGGCAATGATCCTTATCTTTTAAGGATAATTTCATTTAAGACAAAAATCATCCCTGCCTCCCCCCTATAAATAAAAAGACCTTGGAGGTCAGAGAGGTAGTGCAGGAGTTAAAGTAGTTGACTTGCCTGCAACCAACTGGTACTTGGTCCCCAGCGCTATATAATTCCTCCAACGTTACTGGGTACAAGCCTGGAGGCCTCCACAAGTACCATCAGGGTGGCCTGGGGTATGGGCCAAATCAGAGGGTCTGCACACCACCATATCCTCGGCCCCAGCATTGAACCCCTGGCCCCAGCGGCCAAGAAACAATCAAGACCAGCCTGGGCCTCCTGAGCCCTA